GAGTCAGCACCGCCTCCAGGACATGGGACACCAAACCTTTGACCCTCAGGTCACCTATCAAAGTCTTGGGAAGGGAGCTGCTGAATGCCATTACCAGAAGTCATCTTCATGAGTGGGGTGAATGGTGACCCCTCTCTAGCTCATAGCTGCCCTGGTGACCATGTTCAAGGATGACTCGTGGTGGAGACCAGCCCATTCGCACCCCGTGCTGCAGTGTTAGTGAGCGGGCCCTGCCCCTGGGGAATGGTTTAATCCAGAAGGACATTGAACATACAACAAACAAAGGGGCATTTTACTTCCTTCTTTCCCAGAAATGTGCCTGTGTATCCACATACAAATGATGCCAGGGCTGTCGACAGTGACCCCACCCTGATTTGGGTCCTCAACAGTTTTAATTAAACTCCTTGGGTTCCTGAACATCATTTCAAAGTGAAGACAACTAGAGGGAGGTTTCCAGTAGCAACGGTGCCATGTAGACACCTGCTTACTACTGAAACACTATGGGATTTGGGCGCATTGCCTCCTCTAGCATCTGTGAATGCTTCCCGCTTAGCAGCCTGCAGGGACCTGCTTTAAAACACATGGCTTTCCGTCACATCAGGCCTCACTGCAAAACCAACAGCAGCTTGGTACCTTTCTGCTTCCATCTCTCTGAGCATCAGCAGTGCTTGGTCACTTCATAGTCAGCTTTGGTGACATAGCTGTAGAAAACCCTAAGGCCATTTTCAATGCATACTCTTACAAACCCCAAAAGGCTTCTATTCGCATCACTGGCCTCTCAGATCTGTTTGCAGCTACTTAAATCTCTTTATAATGAGACTTAGATAGGAAGAGGTTCTTCCTTTCTCCTCTTGCATCAGCTTAACTGACACAGACAGGATTTGTCCTCCTGCACTGCAAACAGAGAACCAGCAACTGCCACATCATATATCTGAACTCATAGCTTACTGCTGCCGCCATGAACTGAAACACAGAGAAGGAAGTTCAGAAAAAACCTGAAAGTAAAGAATAATTTAGGGTATTATGGAGGTGATAAAAGAAAATCCAATTGGTTTAAAACCAAATGAGCTGCAAAGGGGAAACATTAACTGGCTAAACAGAGTATGTGAGGGATGGGAGGAGGGCAAAGATGTGCCTTCATATTGGAGGTGATTTAAATGGAACAAGGTGGCAGCAAAGGCTGAGAGAGAAAAACGTATCTCTGATCTGGGTCCTTTAAGAACAGTTGGAATTGAAGTGGAAGAATTAAGAGCACAGCAGCTGAGGGCTGGAATAAGATTGATTTAAGACTAAATACAATTTAAAGGCAAGGGAGAGGTGGAAGCAGAGGCTGGAATGAAATCAATTTGCAGCAAGATGCGATTTAAACTGATGAACTCGGGATGCGAGAACTGGAGCTGGGGGAGGTGGGAGAAGGGAAAAGAGGGATGAGGAGTCAGCAACTTCAGGGAGGATGTTTTAGGAAGGTGCTGGGGAGGGAGCAGGTGGGTCTGGGTGCTGTTTTTTGTTGGAAGACAAAGAGCTGGTCCTGAGCTCAGAGCCAACATTTGGTATGTGGGAGACAGCCTGCAAGGGCTATCTGCCCTCATGAACTTGGGCAGGTACAGAAGGATGGTGTTTAATCCCAGCTAACCTACTGATGCCTAAAGTGCTGCTTATCCTAAACTCTGATTGTTGTTTAATAGCGATACAGGACTATAAAGACATTGATGTGTGTGAGATGGGTGAACTTGGGCAAACAACCAAGAGGGCTACTGCTCAAGGAGCCCAGCACCTAACAGGGCAGATCACAGCTTTCCCTAAGGTCTTTTCTAAAATCAGAGGGTTTAATAGGAGTTTGCTCAGTTGTTCTTAAATTAGGACTCAGCCAAACATGTTTGCAAAGACCTAATTTTGAGGTTCCTTTAAAACCAAAGACGAGTGCATCCACTATGAAAGGACTATTTTTGCCACTTATTTCCCACTCACTGTTGCCATTCCTATGCCAAAGTGGGTTCCCATAGAGAGATGTGCTAGAAGGACTGAATTCAATCAAGATTTAGTGGCTTTCCAGGCAAGCTGGAAAAGAAACAGCAATTCAACAAAAGGAGTAACCACGTTTTCGAGGCTGCTGAGAGGTGGCTTCTGCAGGTTCCTGGCTGCATTCTTGCTTCAAGGCTGCTGGCTGTGGGGCACCCAATCCCATCTGCACCAGCAAATCCCACCTCTGCTTTGGTGCAGAGATGTAAAAGGAGCCTGGCTGGACACAGGCACGGGATGTGGAACAGAAAATGGCAGCCTGGGATGAGGTGACTGTAGATCCATTGAGTACCACAAGGAGATGCTCGTCCTACACTTTCCACAGCATCTCCCAGGGCTTCCCTCCTGGTTGAAAATAACAGCTAAAATGCCCTCTTAGGGTAAACCAGGAGCATCTTCACCTTCAAGCCAGTGAAGGAGGAGATTTAAAAATAGATTGCATTTATCCTTTCTTGCCAGGATGTTTCTGGGATAGTCCTTTCCCCTCCTGCTCCCATTAACAGAGGGTGGGAAAGGAGGAATGTGCTTCCACATTTATCTCCCACCGTGATTTATTTTTCCTTTTATATATGCACTGCAGAATTTTCCTTCCTAGTTAATATTCATATTGTTGGGGGTCTTTGGGGGCGAGTTTGGGGCTGTAACAGCTACAGGGTGGCAAAAGGGAAGCTATAAATGAGAATAATGGTGGTGCTTTAGCAGGTTCCCTGTAGACCACATCTGCAAGCAGGAAGCAGTGTGGGTGTGTAACGTGCAGGTGATGCCCTGTAAATAAAGCAGGGGCTTGCCTGGAGGAAGAGCAGGGAACAACAAAGGCTGCACGGAACAAAGTAGCTGCAGAACATAATGTACTAAACCTGAAACTCAGCAGAGAAGAGGCTGGATGTGGGGGGAAAGAAAGACAAAGAAACCCTAATACCTTAGGGAGGGGAGATGTTTACATTGCTAAGCCATTTATGGAAACACAAGTTTACTTTAAGTCAAAGCAGGAATAATTCCTGGTCCATCTAAATGCTCGCTGGGCAATCCGGATGTAGCTCAAGAAGAGCAGCGGATGCTGTGTGTTATTCTTGTCAAGACACAGATTTACTCCCTTTCTGTTCCTTTCAACTAACAACGCCGTGATTAAATGAATGGATGGGTGCAGTGCACGAGGGGATGTATTGGCCTTCCTACAGAGAGGCAAACATTCAAATGAGCACTGTATGTTGTAAACCTTATCCCTTAGATCACTGGAAGTTTTTGGACACTGGTGATAAGACATCACCTCTTCCTGCATGTTCTTTGTTGTGATTTGATTCTCACAAGCAGACTGGACAGCTTCTAGGCCAACACAACATATAATGGTGAGCACACATCATGCAACTGTCATGTGGGACTTGGGTACTGGCATGTGAAAAAGGAAGGTGTGTTTCATGCAGGAAGTTGTGTTTCTTGCAGCTACAGTCCAATCCAGCTTGCATGCAAAGAGCCCAGGGAGAAGCAAGGAAAACCAATAGGGAGAAAAAATCTGGGTAGCTCAAGAGAGCTACAAGAGCTATGTTGAAGTTGGAGTTCCCACATCACTTTGACACTTAGGGACCTCCTTGTGATTACCTCAATTGAAGCCTGATGCCTGAAGTTGCACTCTTAGGTCAAAGTCACATTACCTTTCCTGCAAGTTTCTGCTAAGCAATGAGAGCACAATCGGGTACATCTGTGGCAATGCAATTGGGCTCTTGAGTGTCTTAACAGGTAACATGGATGGAAAAAAGAGCTAAGACAATGTAAGTGCCACTTCTTTGGCACTGCAGTGCATCAGCTGGGAAACAGAGTCTTTCACTACCCAGACCACACAACTCAGGTCCTTCAGGAGCAGTAAATATATCCTGGAGAAGGCAGAATGACACTTTAACAATGGAAGGGACTCGGTGGTGACCATGGTCTCTACAAGTCCACTGCTGCACAGCCCAGGGGCCATGGAAAGGACACTCTGGAATCTCCTCCCACTCCTCACCAGCTCCCAAAGGGAGCTCGTAAGATTTGCTTGTAAAAGGACCTGGTCCCAAAGCTCCCCAAAAGCCATTTCATGTCTTTGCAGGGAGAGGAGCAATAAAGGTAAGACAGCAGCTTGCACGGGGCTCAGCAGCCAGGCCCCTCACTGGGGCTGCGGGTGCGTGAGTACACGTGCATAAATACCCACTGTTTGCCATATCCCAACTCCTGTAAATCTATCACCAATCCACGTAGTCACCGCGCCACTAAGTCTAATAGTCTAGACTAAACAGAAAAAAACACGGAGGAGTTTAGCCCTATGCACTTCCCAAAGGATTAGCTGACTCTACAGCGGGTAGGTTTGAGCTAATGCAGATATATGGAGTGTAGCGTGAACAACTGGTGTCAGCCAGCAAAGCGTCGGTGTGGAGGGAGAGCACTGCCAGCTTCCCAGCCCAGACACTCCCCATGGGATGTATTTGAGTATATCCCTGAAATCGCAGGCTTTCAGGGATGCTGAGAACATCCCTGTGCAGGGGTGTTCACCCTCAGTCCGTCACTCAGGCAGGGAAAGGCAGTCACCATCGCACACCTCATAGGGCAGCCGAGTATAAACCTGGATGAGTTTTTGCACCAGATTGTCTCAATAGCACCCCTGCCCTTCCCCAGCACCCCATAAATGAAAAAGAGCCTATATTTTCAGAACTTTCAGAGTAATTTAGAGGTTTTTTTGGTACATCAGCTTTTTGTTGTCACATCTGCTTTTTTGCTTATAAAGTATTCAGCAAATTCAACAGTAACATACAAATCTACCTCTTCATGTCACAACCAGCCCTCTACCAGTAGATTCACAGACCAAGCGCTTGCTGTTAAAGGTGAATCCTTCAAATTCCTGCAAAAAAAAACCAACAAAAACTATGAAAGTAAAGAAATTACCTTACTCTGTAGAAAACAAGACTCGGTTCTCTCCACTCCAGCAGACTTTAACCAACTACTACTCCCTAGACCAGGATCTCCTCAGGGAGGTTTCCATGGTCCACCCACAATGGTAGATAACCTGCAGCTGCTCCCCAGCAGCATACCCCTATCCAGGTGTTTTCATTCAGCATCATGATGAAGAGTGCAAAGTTGCCTGCAAGACATGCTGCAGTTGACAGTATTAGGAGGCTTCAGGTGTTCCCCGTCTTTGCTGGCAATGAGCAGATCAAACATTGAATATTAGACCACAGAGAGGGGCTAAAATTCCCTAGGAACATCTGGAAATGGTGGAGCTCCCCCTTTGGGTTGTCCCTGCCTTGCTTCGTGTGTGCTGAGTGCCTTGGAGGAGACATCCCTGAGATCACAGCTTTCATGGATGCTGTGAGCATCCCAGCACTTGTTAGCATGTGGCTGGTTTGGGGTCCTTACCATTAACCATGTGTGGGGGAGCTGTTTTTCCTCAAGTCTATCTCATTCTCTTTCCAGCATTTGCCTCAAGTGTCCACTCAGCTTTCAATGCATTTTAAACTGACCCTCTTGTGGAGGTCAATCACAAAACAGAGATCTAACATGTATAGAAACACCTTTATCCCTCCGCAGTTGCTCAGAAATTCGTGTCCACAAGTGAGCATCAGCAATGTGTGAAGGACTCCCTCTCCCTCACGTCCCTCTTCACAGCTTGTGAATGCAAAGCACTTCACTTGTCCTTTGTCGTTAGCTTGATTTTGAACAGGCTGAGAATGAAAGAAAACCAGACGTTTCCAGTACTTTTAAGCCCCATTTGGTCTGATTAAAGAAGTCTTTAAAACTAAAAAGAAAGAGAAAGGAGGGGGAAAGCAATAACCTTTTAAAACTTGTCCTGAATGGAAGGGAAAATGGAGTCCAGTGTATGAGTAACTCAGGATTAATTGTAGAGTTACGTTAGTTGTGCAGTGCTCATTGGGGGCAAGAATAAGCACTCTTGAAGTCATTAAAGAAAATCCCAGTAAAATATTACTTAGCTGATGTGTGCAGTCTTATGGGCCCTTAAGGGAATGCATGAGGCAGAAATGTCCCATTTATAGCTCAGGGTCTGACTATAAATATGCAGTCCAAAGCTACCTCTCTTTGTAGATGCAAGGTGCGGGGGGGAATGTTTATCTGCAGGATATTATGGCTGACCTAAGACCATGTTTCAGGAAAGCATCACCACTCAAGAAAGCACAGGGCACCTAATTAATTTAGAGTCATTGGGACTGGACTGAGGCTTCAGACCACAAGCAATTCCTTTCTTCTCCAGCAATTGATTATTTGCGTGTGTGATATGTGAATTCAGGCCTAGCTTCTTACACAAAAGTGATGTAAGGATGTCTGAAAGTCACCCTGCTATGAGTACAAGTATGATGCTGCTACGAGGCAGCATCGCTGCACTGGCTCAGCTTCCCTCTAGGACCTTCTGCCTGCAGAACCACGATGGTTTCCTCAGTTAGGCATGGAGAAAGGACTTCTGGTCTGCAGTGAAACTGGAAAGTGGTTTAACTGTGTACAAGGCAGATTTCATTACAAGCAAGAAGAGCCTGGGGAGGTGGGTAAAGGGAGATGTTCCCAGCCCTGCTGCTGGTGGGGTCCCAGCATCCATGGGTGACCAGGCTGCTGCTGAGCAGGGTAAGGGGTGGGTGATGCTGCTGCTGGAGCAAGCACCAAGGGCAGAAACTGCAGCCTCTGCTTCATCAGGAACAGCAGTTCCCATCCTCCAGCCTTACCTTCAGCTTCACCCTGCTCTTCATGCAGCAGTGGGTCCTTGTCTAGCTTTGTGTCCAGTTTTGGCTACTCTCCTCCTGCTATTTCTCCTTACCTCTGTCATCTGTGGTTTTTCTCCCTGATGGTTCCCAGTGCAGAGTTGCTGCCATATAAATAAACAGGGAAAGAAAATGGGAAATAGAAGCAGACAGCACTTGCAGTGCTATCAAGCAGAAACAACCATTAATCTTAACCTGGGGATGAAATCAAAAGCCTCCTCATGTCAGCAACTGTGCAAACAAGATCCTGAAACCAAATGGTTGCAGTAGTTGCAGACCCAGCTCTTTGTGTGTTGGCAGAGGTCACTGATGGACAGAGGCTGAGGCTCTGGACCTAGAGCACTGGCAAAGTATGCAGGGGACCAGACTGACCTGCAACACCAGGACACACACAGGTACTGCAGGACAGGGGCAAGGCATCCATCAAGCAAAAAGGAAGTTCCCATGCAATTGGCCAGTCTCTTTCCAGTCTCAATGCATCCTGACAAATCTGAGCATATTGAAAATATATTATGTCATGGTATGGAATGGATTTTAAAAGCACCAATTGGCTCACTCTATAACATTTTAAATACCTGTTAGAGTGCTGCCACATGGCCCGGCAGGGTGTAACTGTGGGTAATGAGATGAAATTGAGCAAAGGAAAATTAAGGCCAAAGAACTGGAGCAAATTCCTCAAGAATGAGCTCTCCTGTTCCCACACCACATCCGAGCTGGAGAGCCAGACTGGGACAGCCAAAGTGCAGGGAGGGCATTTCAGTGCACCCCAGTGCAGAGCACACCCATCCTGGTACAGCATCCGCAGCCGCACGTGCACGGCAGGGTCCTAATGTGGGAAGTCAGGGTCCCTGCACAAGCCCGGAGCTGGCTGAGCTCAGCAGTGCATTGCAGCACCCCAGGATAAGCTGTATCACTGGGACCCTATTATTATACTGGCAATGCCTTTGAGCCCCAGTTCCTGCCTGCAAGCCAGAGATCAGGAGAACTCGGTGCTTTTTCCACAAGAAAACCCTTCAACAGGGCATTTTTGCCACTTAATAATGGTGCTGGGGAAGGTCAGTGTCTGTCTGAATGGAAAGTAACCCAAAAGCAGATGCAGAAATGCCAGCAAGCCAGTTATAGGACTTCACTTCTCTTTGCTAGTACTTCTAGAACGGTCTTACTGTGAGGAGCCACCCACATCCTCCAGTCTGGACCTCCATCCTCACCCACAGCCATGGAATTTAAATCTAATGGGGCTGATGGATTCATCAACTAATAGCAAATTTGAGATCACATTCAAAAGCTATAAAAGCAGCCTGTTATACCCTGGCAACCATATGCACTATATGGGCAACTTCAGGTCCTATCACACTGTCCACTGTCTTCTGTATCCCCTGTAGCTTCCTCTGCAGTTCCCTTTACCCAATACCCACCAACACAGCAGCCAAAATTGCTTGAGTCAGGGATCATGATGGAGTGACCCTCTGACTTCACACCCTTTTCTGCCAGTTCTTGTTTGTGCTTTCCTGGGTGTATGAGGGAACAGCCCACATCTAATTTCCATTTGAGACTGACCCCTGGAGTCAATTTTAACCAATATGGGCACTTCTGCTGGACTGCCACAAACTGTGATGGCATCTGGAGAGGGAACCTGTGTCCTGTGTCCAGGGCAGGCAGAGGAGTCCTGGGGTTTGCATCTCATCCAGTGATGCTAGAGTGAAACAGGCACAAGCTACACAGGGCTCTTTTGGAGTGGGAACCTTGCCTGCAGGCCGGGATGGTGCTGAGTGGTTTCATCACCTGCTAAGCCCTTCTCAAAGCCTGGCCTTGTATTTAATGAGCGTTCCAGTTGTGCTATAGAAAACCTTTGTGAAACACTGGCCAGCTGCCTAGAAAATGACTGCATGAGAACGCTGTGTTTTCTGGCTGTGGTGTCGTGGGTTACCTGGCTATCTTCGACTGCTCCACTGCACGTCATCCAAGGACAATTCATTCATTCATTCATTCATAGCAAACTCCATTAATCTCCTACACGAGCCAAAAGGCTTCTGAATCTCGAAGATGCCCCATGAGTCTCTCCATGACACCAGCTAATTATCTCCTCATTAACAACATTAGCATTCCATTTGACATATACTTGTTAATTTGTTAATTGCACTTTAATTACAAAGTTATTAAGAGCTCAGAGGCATTCAACAGAAGATTGCAATTAACGCAAGCTGCAAAATTGCTCCCAGCAATTTGGAGATGTTATCAGAAACTGATTCTCAGCGCTCAGCTGAAGATAGAAAAGAGACAGGAGATTTATGAGCTGACATCACAAATTCCCTCAGCTCCCTCTGAAGATGCTTCCACTCACACCCTGGAAAGTCCTAGGAGCTGCCATGTTGAGATGCTCATCATGTAACTGATTGCTGTGGCTTCTGTTGCCAGAAGCTCTGCTCCTCTTTGTGCAGAAGGAGGAAGGAGCAAAGGAGGCATCCAGGGGCTGAGTGGACTCAGTAACTCACATGAAGTATTTGGCATCTCACACACCAGGCCTGTGCATAGACACAAGCCTGCAGGTGCTGCCTTCTGTTTTGGAGAGCCCGTATTAGCATCTTACTCCTCTCCAGTGTTGAACTCTGCCTACATGTTACATCAGTTATCACCCTCACTGCCAAGGACTGTTCGGCAGTCCCTCACCTAGCTCCCTGCAGCTTTCTCACTCATCCTCTTCCCAGGCTCTGCTTTGTTTTACTACATGTGCACATGGGCAGGCAGTCCTGCACTGAGCACTGGGGTGGAAGGTGGGGACTACAGGTCTGCCATCATGACTGCAATGGGGTCTCCCAGGGATGAAGGTGCATCGGTGGGGATGCTCCTTCCCAGCCTCATGTGCATCAGCATCTCTTAGATTGCTGATCTCTCCATGCCTGAGACCAAGCTCTCCAATCCTTGCAGCTACAACAAAGGGAAAATAACCCGGTCTAACCAGCCATCACACACAGTGCAAAATGAAGGCGTTGTCTGCTCCTTCCTAGCGTGCTGGTGTTCATGCCTAACGCCACGCTCTGCCTTGTGCCTCCTGAAGAAAACCAGGCGGCGGAGGCTCCCCTGGGCTTGATGAGGTTTTCTTTCTTTCCATTTATCTCAAGTGTCTCACTACGACGTCATTCCTTGGATTAGCTGTCAGATCTGCTGGAAACATGCACCGGTGAATATGGCCATTATCCACCCAGCCAAGGCAGACCAGAGCCCTGTCACTCCTGCATGAAAGGGGCACTGGGGATGGGAGAAAGCAGGACACTGGCCGTAGCGCATGCTAAACCCGGAAATAAATGATAAATAGAGGGGATTTACAAATGGGTATCTTACTGGCCTTACTAATCATGAATTTCTTAAATGCTTTCATTTCATGCCTTATGAAACACTGGGAGTTGTGAAATGCCAATGGCACTTTATTGAAAAGGCCTCAAAGAAATGTTCTAACTTCATTCAAAGAGAGCTTGTAGGGAATAACCACCAGCCCAAGGATTAGGACATCCTAAAGAATGGGGGGAGAGAATTATATCTCTGCTAGAGAAATCTATAAAATAGTGTTTGGAAACCATGCAGATGCAGAAAGGAATTCATTCCCTATAAATTATATATACGTGAGCTCATTTCTACAGATCTGTATTATGCTCATTTCAACTGGCCTCTATTCCTTTCATCCAGGTAAGGTTTCATTGCACAGTTGCCTTTGGGAATCCATCCCACTTTTTGCAATATAAAACACATCCCTGGAAGTATTGAGCTTTCCCTGCTCAGACAGCCTCTGTCTTTACCCTGGATCAGAGTGGTTTTCTTGTTACACTGCTATCACCCTTTTTGGTTCAGACTCCTTCTGCCTTCAGCTTAACTACACCAACACACACCAGCTCAAGTCTGGCTTGGGGAAAGTTGTGTTGCATGAGGATAATGTACTTGGTTTCATCCAACCTTACATTTCATAGCCATCATCATGACTTTTCTCCTCAAGGTAACTCTCAGCCACCTTTTCCTGGAGGAAAACTTAGGAGGACTTTGGGGATGACATGGAAAGTAAGGAGGCTAAAGGCATTCCAGGTTTTTGGTCTGTCTTTCCAGATACCTGTTATAGGAGATTCCTAAAAGACAGCTCAAAACTCAGCTAAGTGTGGTAGGCAATTCAGTAGTCTGAATGGTGATTCCTAGGGAGAAAAATGTCAGTGTTGAAAACGCTGTTTTCCACATCATATTTCCCTCTTATTCCTCTTTTAAGCACTCTTTGGCTTTGTCAGAGCATGAGCAGGCTGTTACAGGGTTTGGGTGCCAGCCAGGCAGCGCACACAGGCTGTGCTCTGGAACTACATGAACTCCCCATGCAGCACCACAGCAATTACTGTGCTGCACCACGGCACACCAGCTAGATAAGATTTAATGTCAGAATGATTCAAAGTGAAACGCTTCGGTTGGAGCTTCCTAGCAGCAAATCAACACGTGTCAGCAAGAGTCAAATCCCTACATTCATTGTGCACATACTGGGGAACTAAAAAGCGATTCCTCCAAGTTTGGCCCATGGTTAGAGCAGGAATACACCAAGTTATAAACACTACTTAGTTCACAAGCAAAGCCCTAAATAAGAGAGAGTCAGTTAAGTTACAGCTCTGCAGGGTTCTGATGCTAAAGGACTTGTTGGTAGAGCAGAGGGAAAGCAGTTCCCCGAGGGGAGGACTTGGTTAATTTTGCCTTGCATTTCACTATGCTGAAGGAATCTCATTCCAACTAGTGTGAAGTTATCAAAGCTGGAAATAATATAGGAGAAATTGTAATAATAATGATTATTATTACTTTGAAAAAGAGCCAATTCTAGCAGGAAAGGGCCTCTGATGAATTAAAAACTATTCTTGTACTCGTCACATATTTCTATCCAAAGGAGAGGAAAGTTATTCTTAAAGTTATGATGTTGCAAAGGATCATTCAGGCCTCCTTGGACATCACTGATTTTGGTGAAAACTGGAGGGAAATTTAAGCAAACAGTGGCCAAAGGGATTTCTGGGCCTCAGGTTAGTAAAGCTATACCCACCCTGTGCTGAGAACACTCAGATCCTGTGCCATAGGCAGGTATCCCTGCAGGCAG